TAGATCAAGTATTTTATCTTCATATTTTAAACATTTAAAAAATTAAATTTGTTTTTATGCCATACCCAGTGGTGCTTCAGACTTACTACTGGCTTTGTTCTTAGAGATCCCTTCATGATGCTCAGGGGACTTCCAGGGGTACTGGGGATTGAACCTGGCTTGGGTGCATCCCAGACAAGCCCCTTTCCTGCTGTGCTATCTTTCTGGTCCCCAAAATGCTAACTTTAAATCAGTGACACTGCTGTTCTTACCATTTGTCATCATTTCTAGATGATTTTTCTCTAGTTCTGCTTTTCCTTTCTTATTTTCTGTGTCTTCTCAATCAATAAAGCACATTGATGCTGCAAGGTTAACCTAGCAATAAAACAGCGTTAACCCCAGTAAGAGCATCTTCTTAGAACACTCATTTTGTAAAACAACGGGAATAAAATGAGTACTCTAAATATTTTGAAAAGCTCTTGGGTAAACTTTTAAAATTACACTGAGACTTGAGTTAACTAGTTAAATATTTTTTAAACTTCAAACGAAGTGCTTTATTACATTATCTCCAGAGTTTAAAGTGTGAATTGGTTTCATCTGTGCACACTGTCTACCAAAATATAGACTTTAAAAATATGGGTACTTTTTTTAGACTTCATAATTTCTTAGACGAATTTTGGAGATTCTATTTCAATAAAACTAGTGCTTTTAAAAATCACTGCACTGCATGAAATGAATGCATCAGTAAAATATATGACTTCAAAAAAGTAAAAAGGTAATTGACATGAAATATAAATTAAAAGATCTTTTAGTTATTGGGGCTGGAGCAGTGGCACGGCAGGTAGGGCATTTGCCTTGCACGCAGCCAACCCTGGTTGGATCCCCAGCATCCCATAGGTTTCCCGAGCACTGCCAGGAGTAATTCCTGAGTGCATGAGCCAGGAGTAGTGACTCCTGTGCATTGCTAGGTGTGACCCAAAAAACATATATATATATATATATATATATATATATTTCAGTTATGTTATTTTAAAATATAATTACCAAGTGAAAATTTGAAGATAATCTCAAGCATCTGTACTCAATTGTCTATTTAAATAAGTTCATATTTTAAACATTTTTTTAAAAATTTAAATTTGTTTTTATGCCACACCCAGTGGTGCTTAAGACTTACTCCTGGCTTTGCTCTTAGAGATCCCTTCATGGTGCTCAGGGGACTTTTATTTTCAGTATCAAAATAAAGTTCAGTAAATGTTAGAACCCTTTATTCCTTAAATAGGATATAGGATAAAACCATCTTTCTTTTCAAATATAATAACATGTTCATATAGTACATTTTTCTTCTTTTTTTCCCCCTCCCCATCTCATTCTCTTGTTGATTAAATTAATTTGAAATTTCCTGTTCGCTGCCAGTTTTCAAGATGATCCCTGCATCCCCTCCTTTTACTCCTATACTTAATGCCCAGAGTTTAAAAATAAAATAAACTTATTATTTCTTAATTCATATTCCCATTGATTGAAAGCAATGACTCAAACATCCTTTGCATATTTAGGTTTTGATACAGCCTTGTGAAATATGTAGCAATATTTTGGTTGGAATTGAATTTTTAGTATTTATGTTAGGACAGAATGTATTCAGTATTTTGATTCTTTATATGCTTTTTAAGTTTCTTCACTTTCTATGTGTTTTTAGGACAGTTTCAAGAGACTGTGCTTTCCATTCCTTGGATGGTGGTGGTTGGATTTGTGGCTGATGTGTAGGAGATAGCATCATTTCTTCCATGCTCTTGTGGTGCTGTTGCTTGCATACACTTGATTGCAGAATGCCAGAAGTCACACACTTGTGGCATCGGGGATCCCCACTTCCCCCACCCACACACATACATATAAACACACACAATCACACCATACTTGTAGGGATTGTGCTGGTGGTGTGGGATGTCACCAAGATCAAACTGGAATTCTCACTTGTGCAAGTTTGGCTTTCTGTCATCGAGTTCCACTTCCAGATACCTCTGTTCAGTAGGTTCTCTTAAGGTCCACTCATGCTATAGTGTTAAAATGAATTTTTGGTTCCTCATTGCTTCTGAGTCCAATAAAGTATAATAAATATAATGCACTAAAGTTTTTCTGCCCTACATGATGCTCTCTTCGGGAACTGGGTTTTATGGTCTCTGGGTCTTGGCTGTTGATAGGATTACGCGGCGCCAGGGGGGCCAGTTGGTGGGTGTGACCCCTGCCTACTGGAATATGGAGGATCTTGGTGGAGGAGAGAACAGCGCAGAGTCTCCTGCCCCCGCACCAGGCTGTCCTCGCCGAGGCCCCTTGGAGTGGAGCAGATTGAGTTTCCCTCCCCAGCCTGACCAGGCGTCCGGCAGCCAAAGACCTCCAGAACCAGCCACCACCATGCTAAGACCACTCTTCACACGCATGAAGGTACCGGCAGTGGAACAAAGGCATGCAGGTCCTGGGGCTGAGATCTCCAAGTCTGCTCGGATCTGGGTTGAGCATCCATATTCCAGTAGATAGGGGTCACACCCACCAACTGGCCCCCTAGCGCTGTGTAATCCCATCAATGGCCAAGACTCAGAGACTATAAAACCCAGCTCCTGGAAGCTGGGACATCTTATTATCTCATTCTTACTTTGGACAACCTGACAGGCTACCGAATGTAACCTGCCCACACGGCAGAGTATGGCAAACTCCCTGTGACGTACCCAATATGCCAAATACCAGTGACAATGATGGGTCAATAGCACAGCGGTAGGGCATTTGCCTTACAAGCGGCCAACATGGCCAACCCAAGTTCAATTCCACCACCCCTCTCGGAGAGCCCGGCAAGCTACCAAGAGTATCTCGCCCGCACAGCAGAGCCTGGCAAGCTCCCCGTGACATATTCGATATGCTAAACACAGTAACAAGAAGTCTCATGATGGAGACGTTACTGGGCCCGCTCGAGCAAATCGATGAACAATGGGAGGACCGTGACCATGACTATTCTAACGCTGAAAGAGCCTTGAATATGGCACTTTTTAAAAAATCTCAGGGCTAGGATGAAGGAGACGTTACTGGGGCCTGCTCGAGGCAATCGACGAACAATAGGATGGTCGTGATCATCGTTATCATGATGCTCTCTTGACAGTGGGGTCAGTAAATTTGCATTAAGTGCCCCTGTAGTGTGGCACAGATGGGAATTTCTCTGGCAACAAGGTGGTTGATGGGGTTCATCTTAATCTCGACCGTGCTTTGGTGGGTTTGATAGCAGTCAGAGGGTATAACAGAATGCTTGGCCTAGGCTACTACTGCCTTGTCTTGGGATTTTTCCCCTTCACTTTAGGACACAGTTTTATCGAATGTTCTAAATCTGAGTATAAATTATATTGTATTGTTATTATGGCCAGTTCTGCGAGTTATTGGGGAATTGAAGTATTAAAGCACTAGGTATTTGTTTGGGTTTCCTTTTTTTTTTAGGGTTTCTTTTGTAAATGGGAAGGGTGGTTAGGTAGGGTCTGTGCCCTGTCATGAAGGCTAGAATTTTCAGTGCTCAACAGGCATTACAGTGCTGCTGGGAACCAGGAGGGTCGGGGGTCACCAGGGCAACACTCAGCAGTTTCTTTGAGCTGTGCAGTGCCAGTAGTCAAATTTGCTCATGTAAGCTATGGATGCATTCCATCCCTTTGAGCGATCTCTGTGGATTGTCTTTTTGTTTCCCATTTTATCACTGAAATGTGATAGATGAATGGCTTTTATGAAAAGGATGAATATGTCTAGAGTACCAGTGTTTGGACTTTTGCTGCTTGAGTCTTTTTTTTGTTTGTTTTTTAATTTTATGTTATCTCCCCCCCCACCCCTTGTTCATGAAGCAGGCTTCAAACTATGGAGCAATCAATCTTCCTGGCCTTTATGTCTACCATCCTTGGGCGTCAGTCTCATATTATATTATTTTTTACTCCACAAAATGAGTACAGTCCTTCTATATCTGTCCTTCTCTTTCTGACTCATTTCAGTTGCTGCTTGGGTCTTATGCAAGTGATGAACCTGGAAAAGCCTGAATGCTTAGATTTGGGGTGCTAAGGGCCACACATGGCTGTGCTTAGGGCATTCAGGGCTGCTCCCAGTGGTGCTTGGAAGACCACATGGTGCTTGTGATTGAAACCCAGTAGACTATTAACCATCCCCCTTTATCTTTTTTGTGTGTAGTAAGATTAAGAATTTTCTTGTTTCATCTCATTTATCTTAGTCTCTAAGATAACTTATCTCAACTGATACTCTGTAAGATTATGTTTGTTCTGTAAGAATCAACTTCAGGCTCCCCCCTTCCCTTCTGCCCCTCTCTCTCCAGTAAGTTTGTCCTCACATCATTCCTCTTCTTATAGTTGGGAGAAGGGGTTCTAGTTTTTGAGGTCACTATCTTATAATACATAGACAGATTTATGTATTCAGTTACTGAGATAATGATTTTTTTCATAAGTGAACTTCCTATGGTAGGATAGGTTTAGAGGGACATTATCTGGGATTATATTGGTGAAGCTTATGAAACATGTTCTACCATTATGTTCTGAGGATTTGTTTGCCTTTTTATAGCTTTGCTTTTCTTTGGCTACATTAATTTTCATCCCTAGTTCTGTGTCATAAGTTTGTTCAAAAAATATTTTAGTGACATCTTTGTGTATTTTACAGTTTCTGATCAGCAAGTATGCAATAAATTCAGGCCATGAAGACCCCTACTGAAATCTGAAAGAGTACTGAGTCTTTGTAGATGATCTTAACACAACATTGTTCTTGGCCTTATGATAAACTCTGTATATATCACTTTGAGACATCATAATTATTTTTATTGTTTTGGCTTTGATGTAATCATCTGGTTTGGTGAAACACTAGAGTTTAAAGGAAATAAAGTTCCCTTTTATGAAATGGTTTATGCAGGTTTTTCACCCTGCAGTACTTCTTGATGTCCTGATACTGTGTCATGTATAATTGTATTAATCCTCAGCCTGAATACTTGCTTCTTTTCTTTGCAGCATGGGGTAACCTTGGAAATGTTCTGAAGAGTCAGAGCAAAATTTCTGAAGCCGAAAGCGCCTATAGAAATGCATTGTACTACCGTAGCAACATGGCAGACATGCTTTATAATTTGTGAGTATACATTGCTTTTTTTTTTTTTGGTTCATCTTGAAACCTGGGGTGAGAAGCATGATTGTTTTAACAGTGGGAAGTGGTGAAGATTGTAGCTCTGTGTATGTGTGTGTGTGTGTCTGTGTGTGTCTGTGTGTATATTTAGTCTTTTTATTAATTCTCCTTCTGAGACTAATAGGTGAATAGCGTTTGTCATTTTTTGGCAGAGGTTGAGCTAAATCGTTATAATTTGCCTGAATTTTTAGAAATTACTATGCTATATAAACATAAAAATTGATTTAAGTGACTATACTTAAAAATTAAATACTATTAATGTATAGTTGGCTTCATAAAATGAGACTGTTACAAGTGATAACTTATTTAGTTGCTGACTTGATTATCAAAAATGGTAGATTTTTATCCTCTCTTAAAGAATTTCTTGTCAGAAAGTATTAAAAATATCTAGTAAACCTGGTATCATCAAGTAAGATAATGTTTCCTCCTCTCCAAAGACACTGATGATTAGTTTGTGATAATGACAGATATTAGAATATTTGTATAGAATATTTGTATGTATTAAGTTAGAAAAATATCTAGGGGAAATTTTCTTCTGTTATTTGATTAAAAAACTCTAGAGAGTACAGTGAGATATCTGTGGGTAAATGTAAACTAACTGAATTTTCTTTTTTTGTTTCTTTTGACACTCTTCTATATAATGACTCTTTTATAATAGTGACATTCTCTAAACTTGATGAAACACAAAGGAGAGTTTTTTTTTTCCCCCAATCTGAAGGCAACATTGTCAAAGGCATGTCTTGCTTGCCAATGTGGGTTACCAGCTCTCTTACCGTATTCTTCCATTCTACATATGTTTATTTTAAATTTAAATTTCATTTGATTGTAAGCACCCTACAGGTCCAGGGCTGGAGAGATAGCACAGTGGTAGGGAATTTGCCTTGCGTGCTCCTGCCCAGTCAAGCTGAAGTCGATTCCTCCGTCCCTCTCCAAGAGCATGGCAAACTACTGAGAGTATCTCGCCCGCCTGGCAAAGCTTGGCAAGCTCCCCGTGACATATTCGATATGCCAAGCACAGTAGCAACAACTCTCACAATGCAGATGTTACTGGGCCCGCTCCAGCAAATCGATGAACAACGGAAGGAGAGTGCAACAGTGTGACAGTGTAGGCACCCTGATTTACAAGAATTTAATAGAAGGGTTGCATGCACAAAACATCAGAGTGCCTACTTCCCTGCACCCAGTCCCAGTGCTGCCTGCTCCCTTTCCCCACCATTCTTTTACTCTCCCTCCACCATGGGAAGCCTAATGACCAGTACCCCTTCACTGACTGTGTTTTTCTCTTAGTTTGACCTACTAGTTGAAAAGAGGTCAAGCTGCTTTCCTTACCCACCACACCATATGTTCCTCCAAGTCTTCTAGGAGTGATCAGTGAGTGCAGAGGCAGAAATAAGCCCTGAGCACCATCCGGTGCCTGCCCCCCCCACCAACCAAATTAAAACAAGTGAATTAAAACACACGCACGCGCGCGCGCGCACACACACACACACACACACACACACACACACACACACACCTCTCATGGTATTACCTGAAAGCCAGGCAAAAAAAAAAAGTTTCCATCTAGGCTGATGATGATTTTATCTAGTGAAAAAATACAGTTAATTTAAAGCTACATTTTTTTTTAGGTGCTTTTATTTTATTTTTTTATTTTTTTAGATTTACAATTTTTTGTGCTTGGGTTTGATTATACAATGATCAGATACCCATCCCTCCACCAGTGCCCATTTTCCACCACCATGGATAATATCCCCCCCACCCCCATCCCCCCATCCCCCCCTGCCTCTGTGGCAGGGCAATCCCCTGTGTTCTCTCTCTCCTTTTGGGTGTTGTGGTCTGCAAAAGAGGCATTGAGTGGCAAACATGTTCAGTCCATAGTCCACTTTCGACATGCATCTCCCCTCCTGGGAGGGTCCTCCAAACACCCTTTATTTGGTGTTCCCTTCTCTATCTGAGCTGCCCTTTCCTCTAGAATGCCCGACTGGCCACTAAGCTATGGAGTAATCCTCCTGGTGCTGATCTCAGCTATTCTTGGGTATTAATCTCATATTTTGTTATAAAGCTACATTTTTTAACCTAATCTGAATACTTAAAAATGAACTGTGAATAAACATTTAAATAAACATCCCCAAACCCTAATGAGAAATTCTGGCTAGAGAGGTGGTTATTAACAAGATAAGACTTCTCTGTTTTTTTTTTAAGTTTTGGTTCATACCTAATGTTGAGGGTTTGCCCAGGTATGACTCACTCTCAGCAGGGTTCGGACACCATATGCAGGGGCCAGATTTAGGGAATAGAACCCAGGTCAGCTGCAGGCAAGGCAAGCATCTTACCGACTGTACTTTCTCTCTGGCCCTACGATTAGAATTATTTTTCTAATTGCAGGGGTAGGGTAGGTCATAAATGTCATTTTAATAATATGATTGGCCTGGAAAGAGGAGGGTAGGGGCTCCAGCTGGCTCTGCTTAGGGGTTACACTGTCATCTCAGTGCTTGAGGGCTACTGCCAATGGTTCAGGGAACCGAAACAGTGCCAGGGATTAAGATTGAACCTCAAGCTCCTACATACTAAGCATGTGCTTTGATCTAATTTATTGGCCAATGATGGGTTTTTTAAGCTATATTTCGCTGTCAGTTCAAATGGAGAGGCTTAATTTTTTTAAATTTAAAAAAAATTTAGTTACCACGAAATAACAGAGTTTTTCATGATTTGGTTTCAGACATGCATTGTTTCAACGCCAATCCCTTTACCAGTGCCCACTTTCCTCCACCAGTTCCCATATCCCCACTCTAATTTGCCTCCCACCCACCAGTCTGCCTCTACGAGAGGAATTTTTAATATATATATATGTATATATATATACATATATAGATATCACTCTATCACTGGGGGCTCTTTCAGGTCAGGTGAATGAAACCCATTATTGTTACTGTTTTTGGCGTATCGAATACACCACAGGTAGCTTGCCAGGCTCTGCAGTATACATATATATGTTTTTACTTTTTGCTTTGTGGTTTGCAGTACTATTGCTTATAGGGTTTCATATAAAACACTCTACTACCGTTCAGCACCACATCTGCCTGCCAGTTGATCTTCCTGCCACCATAGTCATTACCTGCTCCCTATTCTGTCCCCAAGTCCCAATAAATGTCACGTTTCCTACTAACTACTAGTTCTCATGTTGTTTGTTTCCATTGTCATCAGGAATTCATCCTTCCCCCATTATGTTTTCTTATACCCCACATTTGAGATAGATCACTCTGTGTGTCAGAGAGGCTTAAATTTTACAAGAAACATTGAGCATGATTTTAAACTGCAGGATTATGTAAGCGACATGGCTAAGAGAATGTTATTCAAGAATAATATTTTAAAATAAGTGAATTCTATGGTAAATTTTTTATAAAGCATATGTAAAGTAGAACTTTTACAATCCATAGTACTATAAATATATTTGGTACCATATATCCTTAGGAGCAAACATATCTCTTTTTATTTATGTAAGTAAGAAAAAATGCCAAGTTTTCTCATGAATAATTTAGAGTTTTCTTGCCATAGAAGATTTTCCCTCTGAGATAGATATGCTATTTTCATTATATATTTTTCATGTGTATTCTACTTTGAATTCTGAAAAGAAATGGAATTTACTTTTACTTTGTTTTACCAATAAGCATAACCAGATTATACTCCTTTGCAGCATGGTAATAGATGTTAATCACATTTCTTATCAGTTATAGTTATGATATTGTTTCTTCCTGTAGAGATGAAATCTAGGCACCTCACACATTGCAAAACATGCGCTTTAAACTGAGCCATATCCTGGACTATCATCTTACTTCAAAGATGTTTCATGACCAAAGTCTGAAATTTATAAATCTAATCATTTTTGTTGGCATCAATTGCTTATTGCTAATGACTTTTAAAAATTTCTGGGAAGCAAATTTCTGTTTTTTCTATGTAAACTTTAGTTAGCAACTGAAATTTAAAAAAAAAAACATTCAATGCTCATAACCTAGTTTTCTTTGTAAATTTCTGGGAAACAAGTTCCAGTTCACTTTTCTATGTAAACATTAATCAGCAACTTAAGGTTAAAAAGCATTAAATGCTCATAATCTGGTTTCTTTCTTAAAAGACTTCTTTTTCAGAAAATTTTATTAGGAAAATAGCTTGGATCATTTTGTAATTTATTAGACAGTAAAGTACACCACCATAGCCTAGTATGGGTGTAGTTTAGGGAGTCACAGATCATGTTTAAATTAATCCCTGAAATTTAATTTTATATATATATACATATTTATATGAAATGCACAACAAGCACATCTAAGTATATATTAGGTATCACATCTAAATATGATATTAACTATCATCCTGGGTGAAGAAAAAGAAAAATAATTATTTGAAGAAAATGATTTGAAGAAATATTATGTAAGCTTCAGTTCAGTGATTTGTGGTTTACATGTGAAAATCCTTGTGTTGCTCTTTAAGATTTCACAACTTTGAGGACAGGTTTTAAAACTTTGATATAATATCAAGTTATACTCAAGAGGTACATAGATACTGTTTTGTTTACTTTTTGTTTATAAAATTCTGCCATTTTTCTATCTTTGCTAGCAATTACCTATGTATCTTTCTGTGCTAAGCACTCATCTTAGTTTTTTACATATGTTATTTCTGAGTCTTCAGATAAAGACTGCAGAATGAGAAGAAGGCAGTAGAGAGGCAATTTGTAAACCGTCTCAAATAATGAAGGAGCCAGTACTTGAAATGATCATAAGCTAAGTTATGATAGTATATCTGCTCACACTCACAGAAATAATATGAATGTATCACAAAAGCCTTCAATACATGTCACGTATTTCCAAAAACATTGACTTCAAGTCACTTTAACGTGCAGACATAAAATACTTTGAACTGAAGAGAAGCGTTGAGTTTGTGCTTTTATTGCTGCG